TTTACTTAAAATTATCTGCGCATGGAAGAGTTTGGCAGAATTTTCCATCAATTGCAGTTTATATTTCTTCTCCAATTTTTTTGTTTTTCTGGGCAAATTAAGGCAAAGTTATTTGTTTTGCTTTTTTAAACTCAGTTTAGAGAAATAAGGTCCGAGGTTACATTTTTGAGCCAATTAGAGAAAAAACCTCTATTGTAGAAAATAGATAATTCTAGACAACTTAATTCCATATTTGTCATTTAAATCGATAATTGTTTCGACTTTTCGCTGATATTTCAAACCTCAAAATTGAATACACCCAAGAGAGTTTCTTATTAAAACGAAGAATCAAAAACTAGATATTAAGAAAAATGTTTTCAAAAAATGAAAGTTAAAACACAATGCTATCTTTGGTTCTTTGATTTTTGACGCTGCTGAAAAAGCAGGAAGTATTTACATTTTTTTGTTGATATGATTTTTTTTCTTTACCGCTTCCTGTTTTTCATTATGGTCGACAAAACAATCAAAGAATTGAAAATAGGCTTGTGCTATATCTGTATTTTTTTGAAAACGCATCTCCGAACCTATGACCTTAGTTTCTTTGTCATAACCTGATGCCCTCTGTGCTCATCAATTTAAAAGCTTATGTTAATTTTCGTTTTAAACTGCTTTATGTAAAGCCTTGATGTAATGTCTGAAAGAAGCTTTTTATCCTACAAAGTAGGTTTTTCTCAAAATTGTAATTAAAGCTAGTAGTTTGGCTCAAACTATTAATTTTGGTCTTTTCACTTTGGCGCTGCGAGATTCCAAAATTTTTTTACACAAATTTTGCCAAAAAATTCAGCGATTCAGTCAACGAAATTTCTGCGAATTATAGAAATTATCTTAAGACGTGGAAAGTCAAAACTTTGGATTCAGGGGATTTTTTCAACCAATTTTGACCACCATGAAGACAACTTTCGGCTCAAGTGTGGTATAAAATTTAAGTCTTTTAAATGTGATTTGCATTCTAAAACAAATTTAAAAAAGCTCGCCTAGTGTTGATAAAAGTTGGTCTGAATATTTTTGGTTCTTAGCCTAATTTAGACGCTATTTGATGAATTCAGACAAAATTGGCTGACAACCCCATCCAGTTGGGTTGCATTTTCAACTAGCTTAAATTCTAATCTTCAGTTCTCGCCTAATTCAGTCACCCTTTATTGAAAAAAAAGAGAGAAGACAGTCGGTTTTGAAAAAAAAAATGAAAATTTTTTAAACAAAAATCAAAACTTTTTGTTCCTGTTTGGGAATTTTTTTGTTACTTTTGATTAATTGTTTTATTGTGTCAAAATAGGAAAATATGGGTGAACTAGTAGAAATTCTTACTCAGGTGTTCTCTTGCTCAATGCAATTCTGACAGTCCAGGCACGATTACCCAGGAGTCACAAATATCGAGGTTGGGAAAAATTCACAGATGCTGTAATAAATGTAGTGAATACGAAAACGAAAAACGTGGCTTACATTTTGTGGGGAGATTATGCAAGAAAGAAAGGAAAAGAAATAGACATCAACAACAATAAAATCATTGAAGGAACCCACCCATCACCGATGGCAGAAAAACACGCAAAAACTAAGTTTTTAGATATTGACTATTTCAAACCAACAAACAATTATTTGATACATAATGGAAAACAACCTATTGACTGGTGTAAATTGGAATGTAAGTGATTATTTGAATTGATTGGAACCGAAAACATGAAAAACATGAGAAATACTACAAAATCATTGTTTCAATCCATTCGAGTTCATTTTAATTGCGTAGACTCAATTTTCTGAACAGTCAAGTTTTAAACAAGGTGAATTGTAAAAAAATTTATCTAACACTATTCTTTGGACTTTTTATATAAGCTCAACAACCTTTTGAAAAAAATAGCTTCTGTTGGCCTGCTGTTGACTTTTTGAGCTTCTGTTGATTTTTTGAGCTCTCAATGTACCGCTAGTTATGAGACTCAAGCAACGATCATGGATGTTGATGCGGCTTATCCACGACGTTTTTCCAAAAACATTTCAAGATAGCCATTTCAAAACAATTTCTAGAGCCTTCCAGTCGTGATACCAGATTTTTTTTTAATTTTTAAGAGATGAAAAAAAGATCATAAATATTGTCATTAAGTCAGAAAAAAAAGTTCGTGTCTTTTTATCCCAGAAAAAATCAATTTTTCCTTCACGTTAGTAAATTTATTCCAAGTTTAAGTTTAAAAACTGCTCTGTTTCAATAGCTACCAATTTTGGAGCTTTTTTAGAGATTTTAAAAACAAAATTTTGTCTACATTACTATTTTGAAGACCTCTGATTGTCAAATAAATGGTTTCAATTTTTGGTTAAAAAATGGTTGTTTTCAGTGATTATCTTTTAAAATGCAACAATAGTCTTTTTGCACCGAAAAGAATCAAAAACACTTTTTCTCCTCTTTGATTGAAATTTTACTGTTTTGCTCTAACAAACATTTTAAGGAAAAATTATTTGCGATCAAAACTGTATTTCTTTGCCTATTAGGTAGACTAGTACTCTTAAACTTTTTTGTCCAGTCTAAGTTATTTTGAAACCCTAGATTATTCTTGTAATAAAAATCGGTTTTTTCCATTTTCTGGCGCTCCTCTCCTTTCCCGCTTTCCTGTTTGCTAGCTTGTCATACCAATTTTTTGTGGTATTGGAAGTGGTGGGAAGCTCCGGCTTGCTTTTGTTTTAACCAATTTTTTTCCAAGATAATACTTCTAGCTGTAAACGGGGGGGGGGAATCCACAATATCTCTAGGCCATTCTTGCTCGCTATTTCACACCGCCGCAACATGTTCCCTTTGGTACTGAGGTCAGCGGGGCAACCGATTCCCAGCACTGTTCACATTCCCAAAAGGGTTGATTTGGTGGTTGGCTGCTCCGTACTGTACTGTGCTGCTCGCCCCGCGATTCGTGCTCTTCCGACTGTATCTCACTCGTCAATCAATAATCGATCGCAACAACAAATTCCAATGATAAGATTGAATTAAGAAATGAATACAACCAAATACAAAGTAGCCTATAATTGGCTGAAATATAAAATAATCATTCAATTAAAGAAAGGGGTTCGCGATTACTATTATTTATTCCAACTGCCTCCTGCAGTTCAACTGACACCTCACTACTAACTAACGTTCTCCTCGAGAACTTCTTTCAATATCAATCGTTCAACAACGATTCCGCTACCCTCTAGATAGCCTAACTAATATTCACTAACTAATCTACATTCACATTAACAAGTCTTCCGACTCGTTCTCACTTTACTTTGAGAATCAAGCGACTACCTTAGCTTGTAGCCCAAATTGTTCTCTAACTAACTGAGAACTAACTATTCAATTCGCTCGCAACAATTCTTCTGCCTCTTACAGGCTCTCCGGTACCCTCCAATTCCTTATCTTTCGTTACACTTACACTTAGTTTTAGTTAAGTCACGCCATTCCCTATCAGTCCTGACATCCGCTTAAATCACCCGACCGCACATGTTTAAGACTATATCCCTCCTCTTGTCAACTCTGCCACGTGCCAACTTCGGTTTCTTTTATCAATCTTTTCACACTTATTAGATACCCTAAATGCGGTAGCTGTCACATTTTGACAAAGCAAACAAATATCATACAATTCTAATCAACTAATTCCTGAACTCTGTGAACTTCAGCTCTCGAGTTCAACTCAACCTCCAAACCATGCTATGTTTACTCAGTCTTTATTCCCAAGGTCTTTATTTTAATTATCCCGTAAATATTTCGACCTCCCAAGGGTAGGGGGAGGCCCTTTTCATGGGTAGCTAACCAATTTCAGGCATCTAAGTTACCTATCTGTACTCTATTCCAATCCCGACCATCTAGCTATCAGGGGAACGTAATTCGTCTATCAGGGGTCAAATTAAACCAAAAAGTCACCTCCGGAGAGCCATGTAAATTTCCCCTCCATTCATACTATTTAGGAAACTTAACTCTCATGCCGCGGTCCTATTACTATCGTTTTCCTCTGGGACTACTTTTAATTAGTCTAGTTAAAATGCTATTAATAGATCACAAGCCAAGCTAAACTGAACCCAATGTTTACCAAGTCCACTTTGAATTAAATCCACTAATCCAAGGTTGCAATGTAAAACTGTATCTCCATCAGCTTCTGCTCTAGTTCCCGATATATATGTTTTCCTCCAATTTTTTAGCAAGGTGACCCATTCTCATTTCCAGGGGTTGGGCTGGGAAATACGCCATTTTCCGGTGTTATTATTGGAGTTTTCCATGCAATTTTGAGGTCAAAAAGCCCAAAGGTCAACTTAAGGTCACCCAGGGGTCAACCGGGGTCAAACTTCCATATCTGGGTTCCAAATCAAATGCGGGTCCTAGCTATCAAGTTTCATCCAAATCCCATTAATACTTCACAAGTTATACCATTTCTAAGAACCATTCTCACTTTTTCCGGGAAAAAGCTTTTAACACCGGAAGGAGTCGCCGGAGGGTTTTCACTCACCAGGGGTGTTTTTTTGGGGTCCGTATCTTATGTCCATTGCCCTAATAAAATCGGTATGCCCTCGCTCATTATTTCGCGTAAATTGCCTACTTTCGGTCTAAGGGGGTGTTTTTCCAAGTGCTAATAGCTTCCGGTCCAACCGCCGGATTAGGTTCAAATTATAATACAAGATGTATCTTGCCACTATCTATCATCACTCCAAGTTTCAGCTCCCTGCGATCATTGAAGGCCGAGAAACGCCTTCGGAAGTTAGGGGTGGGTTTGTTTACTTAGGGCATAAAACCGGAAGTGGGGGTTTTTAGGGGTC